GCTTCAGCCCAGTATCTGTAAGGTAGACCTGATTCAGCAATCATGGTCCTTGCAGCTTCCTTCAAGGTTCTATTCTTTCTTTCTGCAACTCCATTCTGTTGAGGAGTTCTGGCTGCAGAGAGTTGATGCATTGTACCATTCTGGTCACAGAATTCCTGTATGACCTTGTTGACGAACTCTGTTCCTCTGTCTCATCTGATGGCTTTGACTTTCTGATTCTGATCATTCTGTAATAGCTTTAGCAGAGATGGCAGTTTCTGCAGAGTTTCATTTTTCTTGGTCAGAAAGATAGTCCATGTGAATCTGGAGTAGTCATCCACCATGACTAAGGTGTATCTCTTGCCACCAACACTTGGAGTTTCCACTGGTCCAAATAAATCCATGTGAATTAGATTCAAAGGACCAGTAGAGAGGTTTCCAGCAATGGGTTTGAAGGAATTCTTCACTTGTTTTCCTTTCTGGCATGCACTGCATAAGTTCTCCTTTTTGTATACAAGGTTGGGTAGACCTTCAACAATGTGATCCCTTGCTAGCTTGTTGATTGTTTTGAAATTCAAGTGACTCAGTTTCTTGTGCCATTCCCAACTGAGTTTTGAATCTCCTTTGGCTATCAGGCAAATTCCATCTTTTGCAGTTGAGCAATCAACCACATAGATGTTTTTCTTCCTTGTTGCTGATAGAACCACCTCCTTAGTTGTCTCATGCTTGACAGAACATCCTTCCTTGGAGAATTCAACTGTGTAGCCTTTGTCACAGAATTGGCTAGCACTCAGCAAGTTGAATTTCAATCCCTTGACATAAGAGACATCATCAATGATTATCTGGTTCTTTATCAGCTTCCCTCTTCCTTTTGTCTGGCCATCTTTATCATTACCTCCAAAGGTAACTCTAGGCCCTTTGACTTTCTGGAACTCTGTTAGGCAACTCTTGTCACCTGTCATGTGCCTGGAGCATCCACTATCAATGTACCAATCTTGCTCAGAGATGGCTCCAGCACACAGTTCCTACAAAATTAAAAGGAACATTTAGGTACCCAAGCAATGTTGGGTCCTAGGGGGTCATGCAGTCTTGGCAGCCGGTACCACTTTGGTCTCATCAAGTGAAACGTTGGTGGGTGGTACCCATTGTCCACCTGGTAGTCATAGTAAACGGAAGTGTGATTCACTTTGGGCAGATGCTTGTGAGGATCATGCTTCCGGTTTACATACTTCTGCATAGCCTTTTTAGTTGGGTAGAAGTCCCATATACTATCAAGATCAGAGGAGCGATTAACTTTGGGCTTCTTGAGTTGACCAGCCAACCTTTTCTGCCTAAAGTTAACTTTCTCTTGATATCTGCCTTTCTGGTGATCATCTCTGATACGGTTATCATGAGTTTGTCTGTTATGGGTCTGTCTTTGATTTTTGGTTTTCTGAAAACCTTTTCTGTTGTTAGGTTTTCTGCCAGGTTCATTAATTTTTAAAATGGGTTTCTGTTGAACCTTTATCTTTTCCTTTTCTGGTCTGACTTTCTCATGAATAACCTTGGTGCCAGATACACCAGCCTGACAAATGGGGCTAGAAATCAGTGGCACTATGACCTTGTCTGCCTTAGCAACTCTGGTGCTAGGCATTACAGAAGGCTCACCTGATTCTGTTGAGCCATAACCAAGACCAAAACCAGTGCCAATTTGTTGATCAAGTACAATCTTTTCCATGGAAGACTGGGCCTTCTGGTAAGCTTTGTACTTAATCTCAAGAGGCTCTATCTCTCTTATTTTCTTTAGAAGTGAAACATTTTCAGCTTCCAGCTGATCTCTTTCCTTAATTAGAAGATTGATTTTGATCTCAACCTCCTTTCTTAAGTCAAGAATTTCAACCTTAAGCTTACTGTTTTCTTCTTTAACAGAAGAATAAGTGGTTTGAATGGCTTGAAACTCTTCCCAAAATTCTGACATTGAATCAGAATCAAAGGCTCTGCCTACCGAGGAAAAACTAGAGTTGGAAGTAGAAGATACATCATCATCAGATTGACCCATAAGGCATAGGTCTTCAGTCTCTGTATCCAGGCAACATAATGCTTCATCAGATTCTGATTCTGAGCTGGACTCTGTCTCAGAGAGGGGGTCCTTCTCTGGTTGTTCAGTGATGAGTGCCTTCCTTCTTCGGTGCTCATATTTCTTTTCTCCTTCCTGGCCTTGCCTTTTGGAGACTATGGGGTGTGGACAGTTGACTTTGAAGTGCCCTGGTTGTCTGCAGTTGTAGCAGAGAAGCTCTCCACTACTTTCTGATGGTTTGGACTTCTAGTGTGGCTTTCTGCTAGAGAGTGGACTTCTGCTATCCTTCGGCTTCAAGAATTTCCTGAACTTCCTAGCAAAGGCCGCCATATACTCATCAGTTAAAAGAATAGAAGGGTCAAAATTATTTACCTGAGAGGTGCTGGCAGTGAGGGCAGTAGTTGTTCTGTCCTCAACTTCTTCTTTCTCTTCTTCATTCATCTCAAACTCATAGGACTTGAGATCAGAGATGAGTTTCTCAGTGCTGTAGGTTCTGAGATCCTTGCTATCTCTCATGGCAGTGACCTTCATCTTCCATGGTGAAGGTAAACCTCTGAGAACCTTCAAGTTGATCTCCTTGGGAGTAAGTTCCTTCCCAAGTTCTGATATCTCAGCAGTGAGGGTGAGCAAGCGTGCATACATCTCAGCTATGCATTCTTTGGGTAGAAGTTTGAAATCTTCAAACTTCTTCATGGCAATGGTAAGTTTGTTGTCCTTTTCTTGCTCATCTCCAGCTCCTATCAGGGTAAGAGTATCCCAGATTTCCTTGGCAGATTTGCACTTCTTGATCCTTGTGAAGTACTTGTCATCAATGGCTTTGTAGAGGATATCCTTGGCAATGTTGTCAAGGTTGTACTTCCTCCTCTCTTCATTGGACCATTCATGGCGCAGTTTGGTGATCATCTGGGGTTGACCACTACCATGATGTATTCAGGGTTGACCTTGGTGAACTCTGTGAAAGGCCCTGCATCAAGAACTTCCCACATTTCATCATGGAGTGCGCAGAGGTGGGATTTCATGCGGATCCTCCAGTCATCAAACTTTGTTACTGAGAACATAAGATTCTTTGAAAGAGTGTTATCCATAATATGAGATTAAAGAGGCTAAAACAAGTGGATCTCTTGTTTGGTAAGTAACCTAAAAGATTACAAGAACAAGGAGGCTCTGATACCACTTGTTGGTCCCGTTTGTAATGGGAACAGTCCAGAGGGGGGGGGGGTGAATAGACTGTTCAGGAATTTAAACTTTTCTCTAAGTCAAGTCTGACTTATCAGAGATGGTCGAAATCTGGTGACAGAGATGGTCAAGTTCTGATGGCAGAACTGGACCAGGCAGCGGATAAGTTTCTGTCCGGGTAGCCTCTAGGAGAAAGCTAAGGCAAGATGCCTTTCTGATAACTCTGAAGGAAGATCTGCTGGACACAGAGTCCAACCTTAAGAGTTAGTCAGTAGAATCTTAAGTGCAGGAATTAAAAGCTTAAAGTAAATGACACCGGGGTTTTTATAGTGGTTCAAGGAACAACTTGTTCCTCTAGTCCACTGTTCCACTAAGCTTGCAAAAACAACAGTTTACAACGCCTTAGTCCCTAGAACTTAAGAAGCACTCCTCGTCTTCTTCAAGTCTAGTTGCCACCCGGGATGCAGTCCTGCTTCCTGATGGCTGGTCTCGTTTCACTGAGTCTCTTGAAGTATCCCCACTTCACTTACTCCAGCTAGTTTGAGACGTCCCTTCTTTTTCAAGAAGTGTTTGATATAAAATCAGTTTTCTCCAACGTTACTTCTTCACAAAGGATGAGTATATGAAGCTTTCGAAGTGTTGAAGAACTGAGTAACTTTGCAGTTTGCTAGTTGGATGAAGGATAGGAAAGTATATCTTCCAACTGGAGCCTTTTCTTGTCTAAGGATGAAGTTTGAATCTCAAGAAGGTTGTTTTTACGCAAAGTTCTTCTCTTAGTTCTTCAGAGTGTATCTTATATACTGGGAGCAGTCTTCCCATTGGAGTGTAGAAGACAACTTCATTAATTGCATGTACTGTTGACTTGACCGGTTGGACCTTCGACTTGCTATTTTGGGGGCGTAAAGATACTCGCATGGTCAATCATCAGCTTTAAATATCTCTTCGTACGTACAACATTAAATGTGCATTTAATGTGTGTACAGTACCATGTTTCCGTTGAAAGGTTCGTAACCGTTAGGGGATTTCCCGTTAGTTTAACGACCGTTGAAAAGGCTTCCGAAATCAGGTGGGTTTAGCAGAGTCTTAAGAGGCTCTCTGGTCCAATCTCTGAAGTCCGTCTCTGTTGCCAACTCTGGTATCTTTCTGATGACCAGTTTCTGATGACTTCTCTGGTGAGCAACTCTGGGAGCAACTCTGGTACAGGCAAGATGGAACTCTGGCAGACAGACTAAGCTAAAACTTACAAAAGAAATTCTAATACACAATTTCTAATGGGGTACTTTCAAATTCTAATTAACCTAGCATCATCAAAATCTAAATACATTTATTCCTTACAATCTGTATTTTTTTGTGTTCAGGCAGTGCGTACTTCTCAAGGTCTTTTTCTCTCCCAACAAAAATATGTGTCTGATTTCTTGTCTCGCTTTCACCTTCACACTCTTAAACATCTACGCACGCCTCTTCGTAGTCGCACCAAGCTCTCTCTTTCTGATGCTTATCTTCTTGCAGATCGTACTGAGTATGAGAGTATGGTTAGTGCTTTACAAAATTTAACTATGACTAGGCCTGATTTTACGTATGCTAGCTGTTTACCTTGCATCCCAGTTTATGCATGCTCCACGTATTACACATTTTTTGGATGTGAAGCGTATTTTCAGGTGTTTATAGGGTTCAATGACACATGGATTACTGCTTTAGCTATGTCTTTCTTCTCAGGCTATTCTTTCCTACTCAGACACTGAATGGGGTGGTTGTCCGGATAACAACCATTCTCCATCTGGCTTCGCCACGTTTCTTGGCCCTAATATGGTATCCTGGAAATCCAAGAAGCATCCTACTGTCTCTAAATCCTCTACAGAAGCTGAGTATAGAGCTATTGCTTACACAAGTCAAAACACACTCCACATTCGTTCAATTCTGTTTGAAGTGGGAATAACTATTCATTTTATTCGTCGATTCAGCTTCTTTGCGATAATGTATCTGCCTCATACTTATCTGCTAATCCTATTCAGCATGCTCGCAGAAAACACATTAATGTTGATTATCAATTTGTTCGTGAGAGAGTTTCACATGGAGATTTGGTTGTTAAAGATGTTCCTACTCATCTACAGCTTGCGGAAATTTTCACCAAGAGTCTTCCTCATCATCAATTTCTTTTTCTTCGTTACAATCTGTAGGTAGTTCCTCCTGCACATAATATTTATTATGTTTTTATTGTAATTGAAACTTGTTTGTCCCGTTTCCAACAATCAATCGTTGAATAGAAGATAATAGAGAAGAGAAGAAACCTTGTATTGAATATGAAAATGATATTTGCTATTACAACGCAATATTCAAATACAGGTGCGACTCCCTTTTCTTTCTACTGTATGTGTGCATGAATGCCTAGAGAATGTTCAGAGATCTATGATTCTCAAGGTTCACGTCAAGGCCGGCCATAGGGGGAGTTACCCTAGACAAGTGTCTAGGGCCTCCAAATTTTAGGAGCCTCTAATTTATAAAATAAGCTTATTAATATTATTTAAGAGACTTTGTCCGGCCGTTAACATTTGGGATAGTTTCCTTTGAAAGTTTTTGAGGTTTTTTTTTTAAAATCTTATTCATTATATCTAGTTTACTCATACCAAATTTCACCTAAAAATTCAATCGGGAAGACATTCAAATAAATTCTTGAAGATAACTGCGCAATTAAAAGCGCAGTTATCTTCAAGAATTTATTTGAATTACTTCAATGTTGAATTGTTAGCTGAAATTTGGTATAAGTAAACAAGATTTAATGAATAAGATTCTCAAAACATTTCATCAAAAAATTCCACCGGGAACTGCCCCAAATGGCGACGGCATGACAACGTCTCTTATACAAGGGCTTATTTGACCTTTTTGGTTAGTATGTGGGCTTATTTGCTCCTTTTTCTTTTTTTTTTCTTTGTTGGCTAGGGCAGTAGGGCTAGGGATTTAGGATAATGAGTATTCTAAATATATTTGAATGCTTATTGAATAATTGAAATTGTAATTTGTTATTTTGATTCATCGAAATATTGAACATACTTATTTTATATTTGATTAAATTTAGTGAATTAAATTTATATCTATGAACCATTAACTTATATTTAGTGATAGTATTATTTTGAATGAAATTTTATGTTTTGTGATGATTGGAAAACAAAATATGAATTAAGATGTACAAAGACAAAGAAAAAAATTAAGAAATGATTTGGTCATGAAATCACTTTCCGGCTCTATCGATCGGTATGTTGTATGTAAGCACAAAACCTTCTCCTTTTAGGGCTCTTTGTATTTTTTCATCAATTTTGATCTTTTGATTTCGAAGAATATTCTCACTGTGTTAACAGTATATGATGTATTTTATATGTAATTTACTTATATTTAATTGCTATTTTTTATATCATTGGGTTAAATAAAACATATTTAAAACAAAATTTCTACATGACCATCTAGGGCCTCATAATTGCTCTAGCCGGCCCTGGTTCACGTACGTTAGCCTTCCTTTTATAGGTAAGAGCGCTAACTTACGTATTACGTAAATGCTAGATGGGCTCAAATAAACTAGTAGCCCATATTAAATAACGTAACTAAAGTAATAACAACACAAATACAAAGACTAATAACATGATTGAACACCATAAAATCTCTGTAACAGAACTCATTATATGGAGGATAAGATATCCAAGGCTAGAAGACTAGTAAACCTCATTGTTATTCTCACACCTTGAGCGCTGTCTGGTAGTTTGAGATGTCAATAGACGATGGATTTCCGCGGGGTTTTGGCTTCTGGTTCACAATATTCTATATGTAGTGGAAATTGCTGATCTATACACACTCCTTTGATATTGCTTGTGATTAATTTCATAACTATTTTTTTTGATCGGAATGCATTACTTCTAGCAAAAATGCACTGCAAAGTTGCTGCTTATATGTAATTTTCTATCACAAAACTCATTAATGTACACAAATGTATAATGGTATTAGTAAATATATGCACACTTTGCTCATTAGTTAATAACAACTCAATTTCAATTTTGAACGTCTTTTTTATACATCCTCCGGTCCTAAATAGATTATACACTTTCTTTTTTGAGTAGATATCCAAAATAAACTTCACATCTCTATTTTTGGCAAGTTTTTAATATAAAATTACCTGTATACCCTTATTTTATGACATACTCTACACCCACTTTCTCTCTCCCACCATACTTTAACTACTTTTTATAGGTATGATGGGAAAGTCAAAAGCGAAAATTTCACTTTTTTAAAAACCGTAAAGTCAAAATTTAAAGTTTATTCAGGACCGAATGGAGTACATATAAAGAAAATCTATTTTCAATGTGCATGAACAAATTACTAAATTAATTTCATATGATCGATTGACTCCATGCATCTTAATTTTGGATTCCGACGAACTCAAACCTTAGCTCGGTTAGCTCCATCGCCTAGAATTCAAGCTTTTCCAAAAGTCAATTCGATATGTCCCTTAAGATAAGATCGTTACAAATCCACATTAGTAAAACTAAAACAATACCGTTTGCAGTTTTAATTAAGCTCCAACACGAGATTAATTAATATGGATATAATCTCGCAAAAAAATACATATGCTTTACATTTGGCATCATAATTCTTGTTTTCTTGAAATTGTGATAACTTTTTTATTTATAACTTAATTATCACAAAAAATACATCAGATTTATTAACTTTTTAATATCTCTTCAATGGTATCCATATTGCATATAAAAATTGAAAAACCATTTTTTTTCTTCTTAAATCTATTTTTAGATGGATATTTTTTTCTAAATTTTGCATATGTACCACATAAAAGATCATTTTTTTCTTCTTAAACCATTAGTACCACATAAAAGATCATAAAAATAAAAAATGTTGATATATTTTTGAAAAGATTGAACCAAAAATGCAAAAAGTAATACCAATTACTCCCTCCGTCCCGGAATTATCTTCATTCTTTCCTTTTCGGTCCGTCCCAAATTTATCTTCTTTTTCCCTTTTTGGTAAAGAATATGTGGTTCACAACCATTCTTTCACATTTCTCTCTCCTCTACATAACTCTCCACCACACAAATCCCACTATCTTAAAATTGTGCCCGGTCAAAAATCGGAGTTAAATATGGGACGGAGGGAGTAATTTTTTTGAGGGGTGGAGATGATGTCCACCCTCCTTTGAGGGGGTGAATAAAAATGTTCTCCATGAATACTCCGAGTTATGTTTCCCCAAAAAGTTGCCCCTTTTTTAACAAATACTCCGTATGTTTTAAAATACAAACGATGAACAACCTTTTATAGAAATAATTTATACTTCGTATATAACTATAATAAATATAGTTTGCAAAATGTGATTAATGATTAGAGTAGTAACTTAGTCGTAGTAACTTATGTTCAATTTTTACACTTCAATAATTATAAGATTATATTGTAGTAACTATTAGTCGTCACATTTTTGTAAATAGGTGTTACTTTAGTAATATTTAAAATGAAAAATCTCCTTTTTATATAATAATCAGTCATGCCAGTCATGGAGTGATATAACTAAAGAGCTGAGAAGACGCTGGAACTACAACTACACAATAACGCACATTCACCCTAGGATCAATCGGGCACCAGAATACCTAGCACTTAAAAATATTTCCATTAGAATAAGTTTGCAGCACTATAACCAGTTCGTTGGTATCCTTAAATTTGATGCTATTAGTTACCCATATGTAATTGTTCCCGAGTAGGCTTTGGTTTGATCCTCCTACCCATTGTACTTTTTTTCCCCCTCAAATAAACAGGTAGGGTGCTCCCCGGCCCCTACCCCAAATGCCTTTATGGTTTTTTGGTTTAACACCGGGTTAAACAAAAATCTGTCATGTCAGTAATAATTATTACAAACTCTTAACCAATAAATCATAACCATACCTTATTTTGTATATATGTACAACAAGGTTAATAGAATAATAGACATATATATCTTTTACATTTTATGATATGAAATGAATTTGGGCGTTCCCTTTCTAGCCAAATACTTAATTTCTAATTATGGTTGATCTCGGACGCCTTTCGAATTTAAGCTATAAGTATGCCAAAAATATAAATGCACACTTTAAAAATATCTGATGATGTACATATCAAAGTATAAGAGTACATACTTGTTGTGAAAGGGATTAGGTCCAGTAGGTACTCGTTTTTTACTCACGTAGTTGATAGAGTTAAGAGTGTGTTGATGATAAAAAGAATAATAACTTCTCATCCTTCCCAAAACCATTACATTGTTCGAAGGGGATAATAGAGGCCCAATGTGATCTTTGGCTGATGACTTACGGCTGTTGTGATTAACCAAAATCCCCACAATTACAAAGAAGAGGAAACAAACGGCCACTACTATTAAAGCCTTGTTATTGTGAAGGCTTGATTTGTTTTCCATCCCTCTATCTTCTTTCTTTCAAGGACAAACTTTGAGTTTTATGGTTTGGAGAGAAAATGAGATGATAAAAAAGAGAGGGAGAAGATAATGAGCGAGAAACAAAATTGTGTGAAATGAAGTGCGCTATAAAATGATTTCGTAGGAGAGAAACATTGAAGAACGAAAAATTGTCAAAAGTAGTTTTACCTTTGTATGTCGTTTTAGAATTATCTTTAGTTGTCTTTTATGAAAACTATTATGTGATTGATGTAAATGATCATCTCTAAAGAAGTATCAAATGTACCTTATTCAAATTTTCAAAAGTTATGTCAAATCAAAAGACAAGTTTATCGGGAATGGAGTACATGAGCATAATATAAAAAGTGATTAGATTTGAGAAAATGAAGAAAAATTCAAGATATAGCTTCCTTTTTAGCATTAAAGGAGAAGACTGATCAATAGTTTCCATGTGTTTACTCTTCCAACGTCTTCTCATTTTATTTCTCCTCCCAAACAAGATAAAGTTTTTACATTTTTGAGGTTTTCTGCCTCTCTAAGATAAAGTTTATAGAGCATACCAGCGTTCTCACTGTGAAGCATGTTCTCGTGATTAATGGATGTTTCTGGTCTTATGAGGGATCAGCACAACCCCTTGATTCTGAGTCTAACCCTTTTATTAGGCCCGATCGGTTGGAACCACGATATGGTGCAGCCCCTTATGTCCATCCACCGCCCAATAATGGAGTTCTGCATTGCCGTAGTGAATTGTGGGGGTGTCCCATAGGATTCTAACTTGACTAAAGGGATTACAAACTAATGTCTTAAATAGAGGGTGTCAACCTCCTTATGACCAATTAGTTTTTGACGGCACTAAAGTCGTTGTGTGACTCAAAATAATATCAAAATTTGTACTAATATCATAGTATAGCGTAGTAAGGATCGTATCCACAAGCTAAGAAAATGAATATTTTTCTTTTATAAAATTGTAACAAGGGGTGTTTTAAGATTGTTTTGAATTTAAGAGTATTTAAACACTAAGATAAACGACTTATGTGGTTTAAATTAATAAAAAATAGAGACTTAGTTAATTTGCTTCTATCCACTTAGTGAAATGTTTGTCGATACCAATTATATCATTAACTATCTTCCAATCGAATACTCACTCGTAGAGTATTTCCAATTCATCAAGATTAGTTATTAATAACGAGACACATTCATTAATACAACTTACCATCAAGTCAATTTAGAACACACGTCTTACATTGACCCGATAGTAGCATTAAAACTTTAGATGAAATCAACATGAGATTGAAAACATCGATACAAGCGGTTTATTGGTTTAATCAATATAATTAATCCCACTTAGATTATTGACCATGAGACACATGCATTAGTAATCTAAGTTTATTACCGTTGAAAGGACCGAGCGAATAACAAACGTATTTATCGATCGATTCTAGTAACAATTAATATATGAAAACAAAACTAGTTGATCCTTTAGGTAATGCTTCAAATACTAATATGAGATATAAATAGGAATGTAATTAAATGCATGAGAAGATGATTAAAGAAAATAAATCACAACTTACAAAACACAAGCTTCTATATAGCAAAATAAGAGGGAAGAGTTTAGCACCTCATTTAAAGATTAAACATGATAGAAAATATAAAGAAAACACTTGTCTAAATTGAGCTTAAGAGTATATATATATATATATATATATATATATATATATATATATATATATATATATATATATATATATATATATATATATATATATATATATATATATATATATAGGTGTTTGAAGGTGGTAGGGTCAGATACCCGATTGAGTATATAGGATACTCGATCGAGTATTCATAGTAATATATTTATAGGAACCGAACCGAACCGGGTTATAACGGTTCGGTTCTGACCGGTTCAACGGTTCCCGGTTTCAAAATCCCACCCCTAGTACTATCTTTTCTTTACCCGGGGTCGAGGGGAGGGGGGTTGGGGACCTTGAGTAAACCGATATCAAACTCACTCCATTGATCATTGAATACAGGATCTGCCATCAGGTAGAGTGAATTGGCGACCAGTTGAGTTGGACTGCTTCCTCTAGTAAATACTAACTCATTTTCAAATTATCTTTCCACCTTTGACATGTCATTTTTATATAGGAAACGAAAAAGAAAATGGAGGAATATCAATCACAAAAACAGGGTCGTAGATGAGGGCGTGCAAAAAGTGTTACTACACAAGACATCTCGACTTCAGAAGGCTCAAAATTTTAAATACAGTCTACAGAATATAATGCATCTTTATTTATTTGATTAAAAATTCCTATCTTCCTTTTTTTTTAAATAAAAATATTAAATAGTAATATTTATATGTAATTAAAACGCAATTGTTAATTACAATTGTGTAATATTTCTCTATTTCACAAGGCCTAGTTACAGTAATTAGCACAAAGTCCTTGTACAGTATGGAACGAGCTTGTAACTACTTTTGTTTTCATACTTTGTCATTATATTACTTTAGTTTTCTTAATACTAGTTTCTCACCCGTGCAATGCACGGGGTGAGAGTTTTTATAGAATGAAAAAAATGAAATTGTTACTCCCTTGGTTAAATAATCAATTTATTTTTTGACTTCGCACATGGATTATAAAAGTGAAAATTGTGTGATTTAAAGTTGTACAAAGAAAATAAAATTGTTGTGAATCACATATTTTTTGCCATAAATGAATCATTGGGATAGACAAAAACGTAAGATTGGAATTTAGATTGGAATGGTGGGAGACATGATATCATCTCTCATCTCATCATAAGAAGTAAAATGTGATAGTAATTTACTCCATGAGGAATATATCATAAAAATAATTTTGTGAATTAATGAAAAAGAGAAACAACTTAATTCAATGGTAGAGATTAAACATGATTGTCATAATGAAAAATTAATGTGACATAGTGATGAAAGAGTAATGTGTAAAATATGTCAAAGAAATGAAAGATGCTAAAGATTATATAATTCATTGATAAATATACATAGCCTGGGCCAATCAATTGTGTACTTATCTATCTATATACATAGCCTGGGCCATTATTTAGCACATTTTTTCTCAAATACAATCAACTTTTACTATAAAGCACTTTTCCAAAATCAATTTAAAAACGCTTCTTTAAAATAGAAGCAACCTCAAACATTCCTTTGGTCATGGTTAACTTTACATTATAAAGACAAAAGTTACAAATGGTAAAGGTTCGAAAAAGAATTATTTCTAAATCGTAGCTTTCAATCTATTTAATTTTTTTATTTATATTATGTCTATTCTCAATTCTCTTATCAATCATTCATAGAATATAACTTAATAAAACTTTTATCTCATTATTATTAATGTAAAAAATGACACAATAGCATTTTACTAAATTTTATCTCGTGCATCGCATGAGTGAGAATCTAGTTGCTACAAATGTATGACCTATGTGTTAATATAACCTCTTTTAATTAGTTTTTAATTTATGAGTTAATATAATCTAACAATACGTAAATTACTATAAATATTTAAAGTTAAAACATTTGAAAGAGTTCTCAAGCAATATCAAATAGGTACATCTAGATTTAAGTCTGGTAATGTCAAACTTGGCAGAAATTACTCTTTTTAAGGAATAAAAAACATGGTAGTCCTATTTTGGAATTTCAAAACTTTTTTACTCTTGTTTAGAGAATTTTCCCTTTTATGTTTGACATGTCATGCTATATTTTCAAACCGAGGTGTTATAAGAGTTGAAGAAGAGTTTTATGAAAATCTAAATTCTATTATGAGTACATTTCTTATCCGTTATTAGAGAAAATTTATTTAAATTTGTATGCATAGATCTCATGCATTATTTGATAAATACATCTATCCCATGAATGATAGTTTTTGAACTCTCAAATTAGATATATAACTTTTGGTTAAAGGTGTGTATTTTATCTTTGGCGTGCTTTGTTTTCAAACCAATGTGCTAGAAGAATTGAAGTAGTTTAGAGTTGAGTTTGTATGCCTAGATGTTTGAAACACTTGAAAGAGATCTCAAGCAATACACAAAAAAAATTATCTCACGAATGATATTTTTTGAATTCTCAAATAGAATATATTGCTTTGGTTAAAGGTCTGCATGTTTATCTTTTCAAAGGTGTTAGAAAAATTGAAGTGAAATTTTATCTTTAATTATGTAAAATATTTAAACTTTATTTAGTTTTACTTCAACGTGTGAACTAATATCCTCAATTTGATCTTAATATTGAACAAATTTTCTTTCAAAAAAATATTGAACAAATTTACTCCTAATATTATTCAAAGTGTTGAAGTTTCAGTTAGATAGATACAACTCTTATATAAAACGTATTTCATATAAAAATACACGTACATAACGGCAACATACATTAGAAAACCAGTTACATTTATACGTTTGTGAGTGTGTCTGTAATTTTAGTGATTCAATGCCTCAATTCTAATCTTCTTTTTAGTATTTTTCTTAAAACAACACAAATTTATTATATCAAATCTTTTGATTTTATTACATACTACCTCCGTCCCGAAAAGGTTTGTCATATTGACTTTTCTTAGTCAATAGTGACAAACTTTGGACAATGATTTTAACTATTATATTTATATATAATTGATAAATTTCATACTTTAATGAAAATATTTTGAATATGAAACATTTTTATGTAATTTTCATATTCAAAATAATTTTGTATTAAAAAATATAATTGGTCAAAGTTGATTGTCATTGACCAAGAAAAGTCAATTTAGATAACCTTTTCGTGACGGAGGGAGTATTTGTCTCGAATTGAAATATGATTTTTATATTAGATCTTATTTACCCAACAATTTTTTTAAATTAAAACCTTACTTTTTATTATCATTATATACACTACGTCCGGTTGAACTTTGCCAACATTCTACTTTTAGTTGTCCTATAAAACATTGGCTTTTTCTTAATAAAGTAACTAATTTGTGTTTCTACTCATTTCTCTCTCCTCTAAACAAACCTTAACCACACAATTTCAATTTTCTTATTTCTCACCTAAGTTTACCGGGACGGAGGTAATATTACTTTTTTGTCATTTTTTGTGAATAGTTATAATTTGAAAAGTCAAACATTCTCATATAAAAACTAAAAAAATTGGAGTTTAACTTTGTTGATATTACTTCAGATCAGTTTCAAAAAACAATTTAAAAATGTAAACAAAATGTAAACAAAATATTTTAATAATGAGATCTTCACATTAGCACTTTGATCTAATTCAGAAAAAACTTGAATCTGAAAATCTTTGAAAATATGTAGAACTTGAACCTTCAATTTTTCTTCTTCAAATTTATATATGATATACTGATGTCATATGAAAGATCATAAAAAGTTATAAAATTTGATGTATTATTTACTAAAATTGGAGAACAAATAAAAAAGGTATAATGGTTAAAATAAAAATAAAAAATTTTATTTTAGTTGGCCCCACATCACTTTATTATTCTCCGTGCCGGTCAACTTTGACAAAGTTTTAAAGGACGGAGGTAGTATTAGTTTTCCCACTAACAAATCTATATTGAATTATTTGTACATCAACATGTTTTAAAAAAATCAGGTACGTACATAGCAGGTACCATATATCTCACCTAGTCAACCCTAGATTTTTTGGATTACACAAACACATATTTCGTATTCTGAGAAAACCTAAATATTTTCCCACATTTTTGACTGTCATGCAAGCCTTTCCCGTAACAAGGGAAATTACCCACATTAGTGCTTTATACTTTAGGGTCTTATATTCAATTTTTCACAGGGCCTTTTATATGTCTGGGCTGGCCCCTACACAAAAATAGTTCCTTGATAGAAAACGAGATGAAAATTTTAGGCTAATAGAAAAGTTAAGTCAAAATTCGGAACAACTGGAGGAAGATATTTTGTGATACAAAATACACTTCACTAATTACACTTTACTTAAACAAGGCAAAAACAACATTGATTACATTGGTCAATAACTATGCTTGAGACAAGAGGGTGTGACACAACTTTTAGGAAAACGTGAAATTCTGTGGTTGATATTGAATTGATAAAGTGTGAATAAAGTAAGAATGAATTGTAACCATCCAAACATTATCAAATATGATAATACATGAGACAAACTTAATGAGACAGAGCAAAAAAGATAAAATGAAACAAAGTTGGGGGACAGAGCTATACATTCTAATAATAAATATTATCAATATGATAATATTTACATATGATGGAACGCCTGCAACTTAATTCTGGATCCAAGCGAAGTAAATCTCTACCGCTCCCATCCACATACTTGGGTTTAATTTGACACAAAGACTTGAATTGGAACTCCACTATCTTTTTATCGGCGTCTAATCGAAGTTCATTTGCATCTTCCTAGATCACTTTTGAGGAGTCTCAGGAATGTGGTAATACCTTTTTTGGTTAAACATCCACATAAGTCATGAGTAACATTATAAACACAGGCTACATTTAAAAACCTTAATAAAACTTGTGTATCAAACAATAACATCTGTCATTTTAAATTTCAATACACGATTAGTTAAAATATGTGCATTATCCCATCCACATGTTAAAAATGTTTCTAATTTGATTGATTTCAGTCTCAAACTAGATCACATTTAAATCGATCAGATCAAACTAGAACATATTTTGAAAGTTGTAAAATTCACATAGACTATACATCTATTAGATCATACCAGTTCATACCAGATAAAACATAAACAAATCAGATCAAACCAGATCATATCGACCAAAGAATTTCAGTCCAAAAAAAACATAATATCTTCATGTGTGGGTTAATTATCTATAATTTGGGATATTTTTAATTGGAATAGTTTTATTCTCAGATCAAACTTAAATAGATCAAATCAGACAAGACTTGATCACACCAGATTAAACCTGACTTTGACTGTTGTAAAATTCTCATAGAACATATACCTACCGGACTAGACCATTTTAGACCGGACCAGATTTTAAAATCATAATTCAACTAAAAAAATCCTTAGTTTCTTATGATAGACTTATTTACTACTTTTCATTCAAGTTTTCATCTAAACTCTACATTCTATTTTTATGTGGGTTGTTTGCCTTCCTAGAATAGCCATTACGGATGCAAATCTTGGATGAGAGAACGATAGTAAACTCGATATGAAATAGATTTTCTACAAAAACATTATTAATATAAAATAGAATACAAATTATTTACATAAATATGATGACTAATAGTTACTACAGTATAGTATCATGGTAAGTTAAGTATAAAGATTGAACATAAATTACTATGATTCCATTATTACTCTAATTAAATTACTAGTCATATTTTTGTAAACAATCTTATTTTAGTCATAAATATATAATTATTTCATAGAAATATATGTTTAAACAACAAACTATATATATGGGACAAATCAAATAAAAAGGATCTTAACGTGTAAAACGCGAAATTTACACTTTTGCAGCGCCACTGTGCACTTTGTTGTTCGGGTGGTGCACTTTTTCATGTTTATGAAAATGTTCACTTATTTACAAATATTCTACCACATGTTGCTTAAAAAGTGCATCTTTTACAAACGTGAAAAATTGCACCAGCTGAACAAAAAAGTGCACCATAGTAGTTCAAAAGTGAATATTCCGCACCCTATATAGTGCAACATGAAGCTGATTTAGCGCAACTGAGATTCAATCTCATTTCTCACGTTAGATTCATTTCTCATTTCAAAAAAAGTATTTGTATATACCCACGTAAGGTTGATTTAGGAAACAAGTGATGTATCTAAATCTTTCAAATCATGCGTGATTTTTATTTGATCTGAAACATAAATACACTTACCCGTTGTGACGTTCGTTAGGCGTACTTGGCACAACTCTTTTGCTCACGTAGTTGATAAAGTTATGAGTATGAAAAGATTTAATTGTCTTCCAAATCATCTCAATTTCAACTTTGGTTGTCTCATTTTCAACTTTGGTTGTCTTGTGGTTATTGTGATTAGAAAATATCCCTACAAATACAAAGAGAAGACACACACCTGCAAGTATTAAAACCTTATTACTACGAAAGCTTGGTTGGTTATCCATATCTCTATTATCCATAGTTTGAATTTTTCGTCCGAAGAGAAAATGAGAAGAGAGAAATGAGAGAGAAAAGATAATGTAATTTGTAAGAGAAAAGTATTAAACAAATATTCTAGATAGAAGTATTTATAATTCATTTTGAAATTACCTTTGCCTGTCACTTAGGAAAAGCATATATGCGTTTGATATATACTTTCTCATCTTCAAACAAGTAATCCGTATTAATTAATTATGCGGTATTCATATTTTTTAAACTACATAAAAATCAAAAGTGAAGTTAATTTGGAATGGAGTACTTGAAAATAACATACAAAAGATTATAATTGAGAAAATGAAGACAAACCACGTAAAGTTTTCATTGAGAAAATAACATTGAAAAAGATTATAATTGAGAAAATCAAGATATATGTCCCTTTTTTGAACTAAATGAAATAAAGCTTTCTAAATAGACTCCATGAGTTTATTCTTTCAATGTGATTCTCTATTCCTTTTCCCGCCAAACCAGATATAGTTTTCATTTTTTTTGATGAGTTTATCTCTTCTCCAAGAATTTAAAAATGGGAAATAGACCTTAATAGGATTAAAAGTTGAGCGGCGAATTTAAATAGGACTCAAAGTTTTTAAACTCCTAAATAGGACCACTTTTGAACTCTGAGACAAAAATACCCTTCCGTTTCCCAACAAATTCTGCTCTCAACATAAGACACCACCCATCCGCTTTTGCAAGTCTGATACCGACGAGATTTATCAAACAAATTCAAAGGAGCAATTATTCTGGTTGGTCGCAACCCGCAGGTAAAATTATCTACGATTCGCCGCTGGTTTCCGCCGGGTTATAGGCGGTGAAAGTCATCACCGGAGCAATTGCCCACATCAGGACGGCGAGTAGTCTCCTCCTCCCATCCTCCTCCCCTAGCCCTTCTCCTCCTCCACCTTTCTATATCTCTTCCTCTTTGTTTGCGAATTTCTTCGATGTCGTATGCCTGCTTTTATGAGCTCGTCTTAGTGCTGGTAGCACCGTAGAAATAAGAAAGGATTTTCTCATCAATAGAAATAAGAAAGGATTTCCGCACTAGTAGCACTGTAGCAGTCTTATTTGACAAAAATAATGTTTCATACTAAAGTAGTATTTATTGTGCTATTGCCGCTGCCATTGCTGGCCGGTACTATTCTAGAAATGTCTCGGGGCATTGCTATGGATTGACAATGTCATAAAAATGTCAATAACAATGTCATAAGAATGTCAATGACAATATTATAAGAATGTCAATGACAATGTCATAAAAATGTCAATAACAATGTCATAAGAATGTCAATCATTGTGAAAATTACATTGTTAAAACTAATGCCAAAGCTCTAAAATATACGTAGTAATTTTTATTTTCAGCAGGTGCAACGTTGTCAAAACAAAGCCAATTCAAATTCATCACTATAAAAAACTTAACAATGTAAACGACATTTGCAATGTCATAACAATGAAAGTGGAACCAAACATTTATAATGGGAACATAGTACTCTTCTTCTCTCAAAAAAATAAAACAAAATGACAATTTCGTGAATGTCAATCACTATAAAAATTACATTGCTAAAAATAATGTCAATAATCGTCTCTGTTTGTGCTGCGGCGGCTGTCGGTGCTGGTGCTCAAACGACCCCCCCCCCCCCCCCCACCCCCCAACTGGATCTTCAACAACCGCCATTTCTATTACTCTTGCGGCCTTCTCCAACAGTCCTTCAAGGACCTCTGCTGTAAAAAGAAGATGCTACAATGTCAAAAAAGTGACACAATGGCAAGATAAAATGCTAGAATGTCTAACATTATCATTATAAGCATGGTAAAAAATGAACAATGTTACATTATCATTATAATTTGCAGCCGCCGCCGCCGCGTCGCTGTGCAGTTTCCGCCGCGTCACTGGGCGGCCGCCTCACCAACTCATCGTGCCACCGCTGCCCCGTCGCCGTGCTGTTGTTGTCTCTTCTCCGTTGTGCCTCATCTCTGTTGTGCCTCATCTCCGCTCTCACTTGTGCCGTATGAAAGAGAAATTAATTCTCCTTGACTTTGTCGACGAAGAAACAAAAGAAATAGGGATTAAGGGTAAATATGGAAGAAATGGGAAAGTAAGTCTTATTTAAGAGTTAAAAAAGTCAATGTCTTATTTAATTACATATGGAAACTTAAGCTCCTATTTAGCACCATTTCTCTTTAAAAATCAGCATTGGTAGAAAAAAGAGTACTCTGATTTCATTTAGAAACTAGACCTTCAACTCGAGAATATATGTTTGAATGGTGTTTCATAAATTTATTTGTTATTCAAATTATTATTTCAAAAGTTTATGTAGTCAGCTTTTTTCTTCAAACTTTATTACCCCTCTGGTCAAATCAGACAACAAAAAAGTAGTTAATATTCTTTATTTATTAAAAAGATTATGGTGATCATCTATACAATCTTTTTAATATCTGTTGAAAATGAATATTTTTATTAGGAGAAAAAAATGAAAAATATATAAAAAATAACTGTGGTCTCATTTCGAAAGGAACCTTATATCAAGAACGATAGGGATCAAGTTAATTTTAATAAAATCCTTGAGCGATCTTCACACCTCAAAATTCTTTCCTAAAAATCCTCTTTGTGTTTTGGAATTTTTTGCCAAAAACTTGCTATCCATAGATAGGTATAAGGGTATCCATTAATCACACACATCATATATTATTGCCCCACTTACAAAAAGTTAACTCATAATTAAAGTAATTGGGTACTTGTTATAATCTAAATTAATTAATTTAACCACTTGAAATCTCTAATTCTTGGGAAGGGGCATATGATAAACAAAATCATTATTTTCCTCTTGATAAAGCCCAACAACTAGTCTAATACAATTCAAAATTGACTAAATAACATTTAAAAAAGCCCCAAAGGATATTTTTAATTGGACTCTAATTTTGTAGTAATATAAGATTTAATCTGGTGTGATTTAGTCTGAATAAGAGTATAAATGAAAAAAAGTCTATATGAATTTCTCTTTTTAGCACTAAAGCAGATACAAGATTCTATGTAGACTCTATATGTTTATTCATTCAAAGTCCGCATATATGTTCTCTTGCCTAACAAGAAAGGGTTGTTGGTCTCGGTTACCATGGTACAATCTAGAGGGCGGTGAATAGACTGTACTGGTTTTTAACTTTTTCAAACTAAGTACCAGATTTTAACAGAATAGTCTGTTCTGTTGGCAGAACAGACTGACTGCGGATGGTATTCAAGTAGGAGTTCTATCCGGTTAGCCTCAGAGAAACAAAGGCAGTAAGTCTTCTGTTAACTCACAGAATGGGTTCTGCAGAACACAGAGACCAAGTTTTTGGAGTTAAACAGTTTAAAAAAATGCGAGAAATAAATGCAGTAAGTAAATGACACCAGGGATTTTTATAGTGATTCAAGGAACAACTCGTTCCTCTAATCCACTGTTCCACTAATTAAGCTTGTAAAAACGACAGTTTACAATGCCTTAGCCCTAGCACTTAAGAAGCTCTCCACATCTTCTTCAAGCCTAGATGTCTCCTGGGATGCACTTCCTGGCTTCCTTTAAGATTGGTCCTTTCACTGAGCTTTCTTGAAGTATAACCACTTCACTACTCCAACTACTTGGACGTCCTTCTCGTTAGAGAAGAGTTCTTGTAAGAATAGGAGTTTTCCAACTTGCTTCGTTACAAGGGCTATGTAGTTGAAGAGCTTGAAGTGTTGAAGAACAGTTGGAACTTTGCTTTTGTTGGAATGTTAAGATAGAGAAATATTATCTTTCCAACGGTAGCTTATCTTGTTTGAGATGAAGAAGTTCTGGTCTCAAGAAAGCTTGTTGTTTTAATGAGTTCTAGCAAAGTTTAGCAAAAGTCCTGAGCAAAAGTTATCCAGTTGTTCTTCGTGTAGTATCTTTTATACCGGGGTTGTCTTCCCGTTGGAGGAGAAGGACAACTGCATTAAATGCGCGAACAGTTGACTTGACCAGTAGGACCCGGTAAAGTTGGCGAGTTGCTATTTTGGGAAAAAGATATCCTGAAATATCCTGGAATGTCGGCCAATCATCAGATTTTACTCTTCAGGGTACGAGGCTCATTAAATGAGCATTTAATGCGAGTATTGTAGCTTTTCCGTTGAAGTCTTCTAGCCATTGAGGGAATCTTCCGTTGGTTTCACCGGCTAAGGTAGATTCATGGAAATTTTCTAAGTGTCGGGCCTTCTATATCGAGCACTTCCGTTGGGATAAAAGCTACCAGAGGGTCCTTAGGTCTTCTGTCAAGATGCGAGCCAACAGAGGGTCTTGACAACTTCTGTTTTAGTGAAGTCCAACAGAGAACCAGGAGGTCTTCTGTCTGTATATGAACCAATAGAGAGTGAAAGGTCTTCTGTCCAGACTATGTCTAATAGAGGGTCTTCTGTCAGGAGGTCTTCTGTCAGTCGACTATTCTAAGAAAGCATCACAAAGAATAATCTAATATTAAATTTCTAACAGGGGGTACTCTAAGATCCTAATTAATACAACATCTTCAAAATCTAATTACAATTATTCCTTACAATTTCCCCCTTTTTGATGTTGCCAAAACCCTTAAACTATTTCGAGAGAAGTGCCTTTCACCATAAACAAATAGGGTTAAAATTTTGATTATAAATCTTGGTGGGCAACTTAGCATAGGAAAATAGCAAGAGGAAATCAAGAAGAAAAACAAGAATGTGAGGTAAGATCTCAATTAGTGTTTTTAACTAGTTTTATTTTCATATGATTTTTAAGAAATAATTTGGTGGATTAAACATGAGGTTATACACGTTTAAAAGTGTAGAATATTGATATAAAGTGGTGGTATTTAACTTAGAGGAGTCATGGAATCGATAGCAGTTGAAACCGCCGGAATCTGACATTGTTGGGGACTGTTTTCATGCTTCAGGCCCGAAAGCCGCCCACCTTTTGCAAAAGCCATCCGGATTTTGGCTTCTCTACAGCTTCTTCGTTTTCAATCGGCCTAGAACGAGGATTGATCTAAGGGCTTCACAAAGACATCTAGTTTAGCACATCATAAGGTGAGGATGGCTGACTATAT